GAGGAGGACAGATTCGCCCTTATCTAGCAAAGGGGCCCGGTAAGAGCCAGACACGTTGACCTTGAGACGCAGGTGAGTCATCCAGGTGGAGACAGGGCGGGCAGCTAGAGATATGGGACCAGGTTCAGGGAAAAGGTCTGGGCTGGGGTAGAAATTTGGGAGCTGTGAGCGTTTAGAAAGTATTTAATGTCACGGAATTGAGTGAGATCGCCTAAGGAAGCGGTTCTTCATCTGCTGTCTGGAGACAGAATTCAGGCAGTCCGTGGACTTGGATGGGAAAAGAAAATGTTCATTTTCATTAACTTCTAACTAGTATCCCCTTCAATAACAAACGAAGGCAACAAACCACAGTAACAGCAGTTCCTGGGACTTTATGGTCAATGGAAATCACAGGTATTTCCATAGTGTGTCACAGTTAACACTGAAGTATCATTTAAGCCCGTCCTACTTTGAAATCATGGACATCATCAGACCTATCAGTGATCAAATAAAGACAACATGCCATTTCACGTGTAAAGAAGCATGCATTTCACTGTTTGTGAAATATTTTGAAAGTGCACGTTGATATGATCGGCTTGCTTTGTAATTCTGTGTGTTTCCTTCTACGTGCTGGAGGCGTACACGGAGTGGCACGTGACTTCCGGTAACGCCCCTCAGAGGGTGCGCCTCTCTGTGTCTTCTGCTTCCTGCTGACTGGGTGTAGACAAGGCGGGAGCCATTCTGGACAAGGATAACCCAGGAAGATGGGACCACATCACTGAAGCAGCCTGAGGCCCACACCGTGTCTGCATTGTCACCCTTGGGCTGTTTATGCCCAGACTTTTCAAACGAGAGAGGAATTAGCATCTGTCATTTCTAAACCACTGTAACTTGGGGACTGAAGCGCCCACAGCTCTACCTAAATTCTAACAAATACTGGAAGTAGCTGTGACACAAATCCAGCAGGACAGTGCCACCTAGGAGGGGTCAGCAAACTTTTTCTATAGAGGGCCAGACTAAATATTTTCAGCTTTGCAGCCACAGGTCTCTGTTGCAACTATTCAACTCTGCTGCCACAGAGCAAAAGCAGCCACAGACAGTACATAAAGTAATGGGTGTGGCTGTGTCCCAATAAAATTTATAAAAACAGGTGGCAGACTCCTATGGGCTGTAGTTTACTGATGCTCTTCCATGCAGAAAGGTTACCAACATTGGCAAGACGACGACCACCACCACCACCACCACCACCACCACCACCACCACCATCATCATTTTTTTTTAAGAGAAATTTGGAATCTGGATTTCATCATCATCATCATCATTTTTTTTTAACAGAAGCTTGGAATCTGGATTTTGGTGAAATTTCCAGATTTTAAAAAGTACCTTATAACTCCAACAGAACATATTTGAGGTTGAAGTGTGGACTTAGGCTGTTGGCTGCCATTTTGCAAGATCCCAATTTGGTCCCAAGGGGTCCAAAATAGAAAGTGAGTTGATCCAGGCTGAGTTTTGATGCTACCCCCTGACATTAGAAGTCTGAATTGGGTGACTTTCACCATGTCATTTGGTTTCTTGGGGCTCCTGGTCTGGAAAGCAGAGAATAATCCCACTAACCTTCTAGCGGGAAGTTGAAGTTTCCTAAGAACAGTGATAAATGAGAAGGGAGCCCTTTTGCAAACTCTAGAACACTATAAATATTATATGTGAAATGCCACAGGACTGAAGTCTTTGTGTTTTTGGCAGACAAACTGGCTGAGGAGGCAGGGCTGGGAAGAAATGCATTAAATAAACCCAGAGCCCCAAAGCTCTCAGGGCTGGGGCATTTCTGATATTCTGTAACTGGATCCTTTTAACTTCGGGCTGCTTGCAAGGTTACGGTAGGAGTCTCTTTCTTCTGCTTTTGCAAAGACACCAAATGCAAATCACTGCACAGAGTGATAAATCAATGCTGTATAAGTTACGGGTTCCTGAGATGAGATCTTGCTGAACTGAGAACTGTGGGAAGCAAACGAGGAAAGTGGGGAAGTGATTCTGCAGTAAGGCGGCATCTTGTGCTCGAAGCAGAAAGAGCTAGGGGGCCGGGCGCGGTGGCTCACGCCTGTAATCCCAGCACTCTGGGAGGCCTAGGTGGGCGGATTGCTCGAGGTCAGGAGTTCGAAACCAGCCTGAGCAAGAGTGAGACCCTGTCTCTACTATAAATAGAAAGAAATTAATTGGCCAACTAATATATATAGAAAAAATCAGCCGGGCATGGTGGCGCATGCCTGTAGTCCCAGCTACTTGGGAGGCTGAGGCAGGAGGATTGCTTGAGCCCAGGAGTTTGAGGTTGCTGTGAGCTAGGCTGACGCCACAGCACTCACTTTAGCCTGGGCAACAAAGTGAGACTCTGTCTCCAAAAAAAAAAAAAAAAAGAAAAGAAAAGAGCTAGGGGCCAGGAGAAATGTTCTCCTCCCACTTGTCCCTTGAGGGGAAGTTGTTTCTTTGGCAGACATTTGTTTTATTTTTCTGTCTAGCATCCATTCTCCTGTCTTTTCCCAACTGTGCCTTCACTTACCAAATAGAGGGAACCAACTTTTCCCTCTTTCAGCCCAACCTGTCCTGGGGAGGTTTTCAGCTCCCACTCCTGGATTAGGCACGTGATCTGGGCCCAGCCAATCAGGCTATTCCATCTCCCCTGGCCTCTGTGATTGGTTAAGGGGGGTGAGACATATGACCCTAGCTGAGCCAATGAGAGCCTCCCCTGGGAATTTTGCTAGAGTCATTGGGATGAGGCCTCTCTTTCGGCTAGGGTCACTACACTGGTGAGATGGGATCCACAGGGGCAATCCTGCAACCACAAAGGGGAGCCTTCCTAAGAATAAAGCAAACCCAAATGAAAGCAAATCCAAGAAACAGAAAGATGGGGTTCTGATGGCAGCCTTTGAGCACTGGGACCCAGCCAAGTTTGCCTGAACTAATTTCAATTATGTTTCCTGATGTTGGACAAGTGAGACAGTAATCCAAATTCCATTTTGTTCCCATTTTCTGCCAACTTCAAGCCTAAGGCCTAAGAGTCATCCATTTGTCCACATCTTATTGAGTATGCAATACCTGCCAGATGAACAGCAAATAAAACAAGTTATAAATAAGTTCACAAACACCTAAGATAATTTCAGGGGGATGGTCAGTCCAAAGAACTTAAAGCAGGGTTTCAGGGAAGAGAATGACAGGGATGGTGAGTGCTCACTGATATAGGAAGGTCAAAGGTCGGAGAGGAGGAGGGGATGGATGGGGAAGTCCTCCATGGAAGGAGAATGAGGACAAGTGCAGAGGCCCTGGGGCAGGAAGGACCTTGCAATGTCTGAGGAACAGCAAAGAGGCCGGGTGGCCTGAATGTTGTCAGAAAGGAAGGGAGAGAGGTGGGAGATGTGGACAGAGAGGTGAGCAGGCCCAGGCCGTTTTAAGCAGGGAGTGACATGGTCAGATTTCCTTTCTCTCAAAGTGTCCTCTGGCTGCGGGTGAGGAGGAAGAATGGCTGATTGCCGGGGAGAAGCGGGCACAAGTGCATCACCGGGGCAAGGACTGGGGCTGGCCCTGTCTTCTGCCAGCCTGTTTTTGGTGAGGCTGTTGCCACTGAGGAAGGCCGGGCCGCAGAGGACCCCGAGGCCCGCTGACTGGCTGCAGCAGGCCCGGCTGTGGCGTCGGGGGCGGGCTGCTTATGCCTCTAATTAAATGCAGGCCTCAGCCACCCGCTCCCTAGGAGGGTCACGCAGCTACAGCAAATGAGGACGGGGCCCATTCATTTCCTGGAAATGCAATTATCTCAGTATGGAGGGCTCCCCCATCTCTAGCGACAGGTTTTATTGCCTGCTGAGTCACCATCAGGACGAGCTGTGTCTTAAGATCTTTTTGCCCCTTTAAAGTGTGGTTTTGTCCAGAAGGATGGGCCAGGGGAGGGGGAGAAAACCCACAACAGACACTCAGAACAAGGCTTGAGGAGACTGTTCGTCAGTGCATACTTAATTATCACCTTGGAACAATCTGACGCTAACCTGATCCTTCAAAGAGCTGTTCTCAACACCATTAGACTGACGTCCCATTGCTACGACAAATATTTTGTGAAGTTTGCCTATTTTCCTGATAGGAAATTTATAGGTAACAAAAGCTGCCTATGCACACCGTTACCAAAAAAATCAATATAATGCTCTAACTGAAATCTACAAGAAAAAGAAAGGAAAGCAATTTATAATAAAGAAAAATTTCAGCATGAAATTCCTCCAGCACATCCATCAAGGAGACACCACGAGTAGTCAGACGCCTGCACCTAGACGCAGACTCCCTGGGAGTGTGACAGTTACGGATGCAGCTGGGTGAGTGTGCGGCATCTGCAATGCAAATGCTCCGGGTGGCCCTGCCATCAGGGACGCGGCTTTGGGAAATAAGGGGTAACTCCAGCAAGAGTTTTGTGTTCAAGTACGATACTCTCTCCATTTTCTTATCAGGTATATTCCCGGGAAATTCAGGCAATATTAACAAACTGTGCAACAAAGCCCTTTAGTGTTTATATATAAAACAGACTTAGGTTCAAGTCTTAGACAATAAACATTAAATAATCCACCCCTATGAACAATCTGGTAGAAAACTCAGAAGCCATGTGAGATGCAAGGCAGTCGGGGTCGTGTGGGCGCTCCTGTGCAGAGCAGGAAGGACATCGAGGGCCCTGGCCCCTTGCCCCAGGAAGCCAGCGGCATCGCCCGACCAGCAACGCTTTCACAGACTTTAACCCCCAGGGGGCGCTGTGCTCCCTTGACAACCGCCAGGTTAGAAGAACGTTTGCAAACCAGTGGCCTGGGGGTGCTGAACCACATCTGTTTGCTGTAGGTCTGCCTGGCATTTTCACTTATTTATTTTTAAAAAGTAGAGTTAACAATAAACATTTCAAAACTGGGCCCCCTCCCCTGCCCGGCCTGCCTCTCTGCTTCAGGCTACCTGCCTGGCTCCCCCACCCCGCATTCCAGTTTGACACCCCCAGCTAGGAAGGGTTCCCGGGGTTTGGCAGGGGGCAGGACCCTCCTTGGCCTGGGAAGGGCCGGTGCGTGGGGAGCTCGGTTTCCCTCCGTTTGTTGAAGCCCCTTCGCCTTCCATGCCCGACTCCCCAGACGGCACAGACGGATGCCCGCAGGGCTCGCCGTGTGTTGGGAATGGGCTGCTGGCCTAGGGGGGGACCTGGCCACAGACGGGACCACAGGCCCAGGGTAGATCCCAAGACCCTGACCCAAGACACAGGATGGATTGGGAAGGTCGGGAAGACACATCAAGGTGCCGGGGCTGCGAGAGGGGACAGATACGGGGACAGTGAGGAGGACACAGGATCAAACAAGATGAATCGGGGAAAGCACTTGACTCATAGTCTGGGCTCCAGGGAGCTCGGTAATAATGACAGCCAGTGTTTTTATTGTTGTCGTTCTATCCTCGGAGATTTGCATGGCTTCCCCCAGAAAGACTTTGCTTGAATGAGGCTCTATTCTCACGCTATCCAACAGACCTTTCGGCCACCAGGGAAGGGTTCTATGTCTGCGCCACTATGATGCCCACGTGTGCCTACGGAATACTCGAATTGCGGCTAGTGCACCTGAGAACCTAAATGTTAATTTAACTTTAATTAACTTGAAGTTAAATGGCTCCCTGTGGCCAGCCGCAACTGTACTGGGCCACGTGGCTCTAGCCTACCCCTTCCAGAATGTTCAGGGAGTCGCAGCTGGCACCCAGGAAAGGACTGGGAAAGGCCGCAAATACCCTGAAAACTCCCTGGACGCCCCTCGAGGCCCGGAGGCAGGGTGTAGGCATCTACCCACCACGCTGTCCTTCCCTTCATTTTTATTTTGACCTCCATGGCTGTTTTAATTCCTGCTTTTGTTAGAGTGAAACTACAGCTGAAAACAGGAAGGATCCGCGTGGAGCTGATCGGCTGGGTGGCCACGTTGCGCCACACTCAAGACCACACCCCAGGTGACAGCGTGTTTGCTCCAGTTTGACACCGAGGCCCTGCAGCCTTCGTGGAGGAGGTCGACGTGTGAAAGAACCCAGCTGTGGTGCACTGCACCGAGTCCCCCAAACGCACGCTCACGGCCTTGCCCAGGTACCTGCGAATCTGACCTTGCTGGAAATACGGTCTTGGTAAATCAAGTCGAGATGAGGTTGGGCTGCTGGGGCGGGGGCCTCTAATCCGGTCTCTGGTGTCCTTGCAAGAGGAGGGAAATTTGGACACAGACTCACGGAGAGAAGATAGAGGCGGAGACGGGAGCGATGTGGGCACAGCCAAGGACGCCGAGATCGCCAGGAGCTTGAGCGCAAGGGATTCCCGCCCCACTGCCCGAGCCAGCCGAGGAAGCCCGGCCCTGCTGACGCCCGACTTGGGGCTTCTGACCTCCAGAACTGAGAGAGAAAACTCCTTTTGTCTAAAGCCTTCCAGTTTGTGGCACTGCTACTGCACCCTAGTAAAGGAACACGCCGGCTGAGGGCTGGGGCCGAGAGGGCGTTGCCTGGATCCAAACAGCAACCGGCCCCGCCAGCCTCACCCCCAGCTTCCTCTCTGTCCCCGCCCGTGGCCACTTCCCCTGACAGCCCAGGGAGCCTGTCCTCCCGGGTCTGTGGGCGCCAGTCACGTGACCCTTGGGGTGCTGTCACATCACGGGCATCGGGGAACTTGTGCATGTATGCTGCAACGCTGCTGTATAGGTGGGGAAACTGAGGCCCAGAGGAGGCAGGGTCTCAGCTCAAGGTCACAGGAAGTCTGAAGAAGAGTCTGATGCTCTGGACTCCTGCTCAAAGCGAGCACTTGTTTTGGAACTTGATGGTCTTGGAGAAAGCGAGTGACTAGTAAATAAGAGTTTAAAGAAATTCCGCTTGAGGATGCACATGGCCGCGGCAAATCTGTGCCTCCCACAGTTGCCCTGGGTCACGTGCCGTCCCTGGGCACATGGGGGAGGGGCCCCTGCTGCGGGCCGTCCACGGGGTGAATGGAGAGGCTCTGTTGTCACCCCGACAGGGGGTGGGGGAGGGGAGAGGGCAGCTGGGCCAGGGAAGGAGGGGGCTGTGCGTGCCTGCCTGCCCCTCAGGGGAGAGGAAGACAGCAGGGAGCAGACCAGGAGGAGGGCCAAGCAGAGAGAAGGCTGTCATTGTGGAGGCAGGGCCAGCTGCACCAGGGCCAGAGGAGGCGTCCCAGCCCTCCCTCCTGTGTGCGCAGAGGGCCGAGGAGACAGGGGAGGAAAGGCCGGGTTGGGGGAGTGGATGGGGCAGGAGAGGAGTACAGAAAAGAGGGGTGCCAGCTGCTGGCCCGGGTGTAACACGTGGCTCCACCCACTCATCCCACTAAGGTTTACTGAGCACCTACTACGGGGCAGGCTCTCTTCTAGGCACAGGGACACAGCAGGGAACAGAACAGACGGCCCCGTTTCCACGGAGCTGCCATTCTAGAAGCGAGACAGTCGAGACCAATGGGCAGAAGACACGGCAGGGGGTGGGAAGGGCCAGAGAGCCAGATAAGGAAGCCAGAGCCAGGCAGGGGGGATGGGAGGGCGGGGGGCAGAGCGGGGCTCGACACAGGAGGGTGGGCAATAAGCAAAGGCGACAGGGCTCCAGGGGACAGTGAAGCAGGAGAGGGGATAAAGAGGGGGACGGGGTGGTCATGGAAGGCTTCCTTGAGGAGGTGGCACTGGAGCAAGGCCTGAGCTCAGTGGGCGAGCAGGCCCTGCAGCTGTGCGAGAGAAGTTTCCAGAGAAGGAAAGAGCGAGTGCAAAGGCCGCAGGTGGGCACGTACCAGGTGCCGCTGATGCTTGAGAGGCGGGAAGGAGCCGCCGTGGCTGGAGCGGGCTGACTGGGGAGAGCGGGAGGCCGGGGCACGGGAGGTGATGGACGCTGGGACCCCAACGTGGCTTTGGGGACCCCAACGGGGTGGGAGCCACAGAGCACAGGAGAAAGAGCATCTGAAGGGGGTCCTGAGAGGATCCTGCTGGCCGCTGTGTTGAGAACAGACCACAGGGTGGCGAGGGGAGCCCCAAGGAGCACACTGGCACGGGGAAGGTGGGGACAGCGGTGAGGAGGCGGTGGCGGCGGTGGCAGCTGACAGGTGTTCTGGGCGTGTGGAAGCCAGAGCTGCCGGGTTGCTGATGGACCGCATGGGGTGTGAAAGGAAGGAAGTCAGGAGTGGCACTAAGGGTTTGGACCAGGCGACCGGAAAATTGGAGGTGCCAAGAGGAAGCCTGCAAGGGGCGCCCGGGATGGGTGGGGGAGGGACAAGATCAGGAAGCCGCGTCGTCAGGCCACAGAGGCCCTGGTCCCTCGTGAGGCTGGCCAAGGTCGGCGGCCAAGGTCAGGCCCTCGGCTGACCTCCCTCCCCAGCTCTGTGTGAGGAGAGGGGTGGAGATAATCGGGGTGCTCAGGGCCACATCTGAAAACAGGCTCCAAGCAGGAGCCCTGGCAAAGCCCCTGGCTTGCAATGAGGGACAGGTGCCCCTCCCCCGATGCATTCTAGAACAGGAGGGGGAGGGGCAGAAGGCTCACCACCCTCTCTATAAAAGTCTGCAGCAGATGGCAGAAGCCAGGGCGGGGAAGCAACCCCAGCACTGCCAGATCCAGACGGCAGCGTGGGAGGAGAAAGGCATTACCCTAATGAGGAAAAAGTGGGCATTCCAACCTAACTCGCCAGAAAGGGCTAGAAAAAGTTGTGTTGTTTTTGTTTGCCAAAAGCAGTGTCCTGAAAATCCGTGGTTGCCACTTCAGCACACATTTCCTCCTATCCTTCCTGACGGCCTTCGATTTCTCTTGGGGGTCAGGTGCTGGGCTGAACTCTACCTGCTGCTCCCGGACAGGAGCTGACTGGCACAGTGCACACGCTAGCCTTGGTGACGGGTCCAGGGGCTGGCATGGGACTCAAGCTGGTCCAATCAGAAAGAATCTCACAACGTCAGCGTTCTGGGAAAACACGGGCTCTTGGTCCTGTTGGACACGAACAAAGAGCCACGGAGTCCCTGGAAGTGCCAGCCACGGTCCTGAGACCTCGAGCCTTACGATAAAATCCTGATACTCCTAAACCACGGGGTCAGACCCCGCCTAAAGCTCACCTGTGTCTTCTCAGCTTAGAGAGCAAAAAGTTCCACACCTTGTTAGAAACCAACTGGGGTTTGGGCACTGGGGTCTGAAGGCAATCTACTGGCCGTGGGCTTTGCACACCGCAATGAGCAGGCAGAGGGACCCTGCCTTGCCGGGGCAGAACGCACACTCGCCTCCCCAGAACTGCGGGTGTGCAGAGGCGGAGCTGAATTGCCAAGTGGAAGAAGAGGCCTATTTTCAACATTGCCCGAAACTGGCCAGTTGCTCTTCAAAGCAAAGGGACCGATCTGCATTCCCACTGCTAGTGCCCGTGACTTCCTCTTTTCCTACATCCTCACCAACATTCGCTGTGATGGAACCTCTGAACAACGGGTGAGATGTGACAGTGCACTGTTGGCTTCATTTGCATGTCGCTGACTGCCAGCGAGGCTGAGCACATGCTGCTACACTGTCACCCCTGTGTGCAACGAGCTGTGACGTTCATCAGAACACTGGCCTGAGGTGGGCTCTGTGATGCCGCGCTACGTGGGCAAGTCATCGTCGTCATCATCATCATCATCGCTAAATTTCTCAAGTGCTTACCGTGTACCAGCCACTGTTCTAACATATTTAATTTTCACAAAACCCTATGAGCTAAGTGATATTGTTCTGCATGGATGAAGTAGCCACGACACAGAAGTTAAGTAACCTGTCCAAGTTCACGCAGACAGGTGGTGGCAGAGCCTGGATTTGAACCCAGGCAAAGCTGATGCCCTCAACCACTTTGCAAAGAGCTGAGAGGTGCCCCACACTGAGGACACTGTGCAACTCGGACTCGTGGGCACGTAAGCGAGCAGTCAGGGCACAGCGGTTCATCTGCTGCAACGTGTGACAGGATGACCAAGTGCACTTTGTGAAAAGTGAGGATGTAGTTCATCCTTTCAAGGGTATCCGTATCTGAGATCCAGGTCCCCAAAGTTGTAAGAAGCCATACATAGAAATATCCATTAAAAAATTGATATTTACCCTGCTTGAACTTAGCATCTCTCACCTCACCCTTTGTCAATCTCTATTGCAAACATGGAGCACACAAACAAGATGATTGCAAAATGAAGCTGCAAATCTTCAAGAAGATGCAGTTTTGTGAAATTAATTAAAGTGACGCTGGAGGACAGCTCAAAACAAATCCGCAGACAAATAATAACCCGGTCTATGAAATCACAGGAGAAGAGACCGTTGAACAGGATGATGAGGTAATAGCACTTCACACAGGAAGATTCGGATGTCAGAGGATTAGGAGAGGCCCTTGGAAAAATTGATCAAATCCTCAAATACTTTTGCAAAAATGAGCTTGGTGCAGTGAATAAAGGCTATCATCTTGAGCTATCATTTAAATTTGTTGAACAAATTACACTCCTTCAAGTTACACATCATTTGATCAATTCATTTGCTTAAAGAATCAACCCATTAGTTACAAGTACAGCAAACCTTTGTTAAATATCATTAGATACAAAATTATTTTGATAATAAAGTTATATTTGATAAAAGAGTTATCAAAATTTCTAATTTCATCTTTCAAGATAAAATACCCAACTACACACATTAAGAGCACTACTATGAAATGTTGGTCCACTTACTGGTGTCAGTCTTCCTCAGTGCAAGCTGAACTCCTGAATTCCAAAGGGTATCACAAACACCAATGTCTCAAAACTGTTAGGGTAGTTGAGACTTTAATTTTTTTCTCAGTATCCATTTTCTTCTTGTCCCAGAGTAAAATAATTTTCAGCTGGGCAAATGGCCAACAGAACAAGACTACATTTCCCAGGCTGCTTTGCAGCCATGCCCATGTGACTTGCTTCTCACCAATAGGAAATGAGGAGTAGAGTCTGACCAAATCCATAGAGCAAGGCCACCAACGCAAAGCGGAACTTTAATTGAGAGAGTGATAACTAGTTGTATCTTAGGTCTCTCTCACACACAGCCAAATTCCCATCCAACTCAACCAACTCCCCTAGATGGCCCCATGAATATAGGGTTTAAAACAGCTGACCTTCAGTTTTCGGGGAATTAAAAATTTACTATATATTTTAATATGCATCACATAAATCAAATTAAAAGGAAAAATTTAATCTAAAAGGTATTCTGAATTTATTACAGCTTTTTGTCATTTTCTCAATCAACAGACATTGATCAGTAATAGCTAATATCATATAGTGGGATCTTTAAAATTGTTTTCACTTTAAATAGCAACTTAACATAAAACTCAAATCAGAGCTTCCTAGCTGCCAGGGCAAAGAGGGAAAGTATACATACGGTATACAGCTGTATACATACGGTATACAGCTCTTGGTATTTAATAACCAGAAGCACATCACTTATCAGAGTTGCCACAAACTGGTTTTGAGTTCTGAAGGTTAGGGTAGCATGGGATTCCTTGTACAGAAAGAAGGGCATTCTAAGCATAATGAATAAAATTCACAATGGCAGTTTTACATAAAATGTAGATATTTTGTGTGTATTGCTCTTCATATTTGACATTATGTTCCCAGCCTTCATTGAGGGTAAGATAAGTAAGCAAAGTTGAATGAAAGCAATCATTTGGGGAGGCAGCTTCTGATGATTTATATAAACTCAAGGATAAGGTTTGGGAAATTAATTTTCAAGGATGTTTATTCCTAAGATGGCTCCTTTTCTTGTTATCTGCATGATTTTATTACTATTATTATTATTATTTTTGAGACAGAGTCTCACTCTGTTGCCCCGGCTAGAGGACCGTGGTATCAGCCTAGCTCACAGCAACCTCAAACTCCTGGGCTCAAGCAATCCTTCTGCCTCAGCCTCCCAAGTAGCTGGGACTACAGGCATGCGCCACTAATTTTTTCTATATATTTTTAGTTGTCCAGCTAATTTCTTTTTTTTTTTTTTTTTTTTTAGTAGAGATGGGGTCTTGCTCTTGCTCAGGCTGGTCTTGAACTCCTGACCTTGAGCAATCCGCCTGCCCCAGCCTCCCAGAGTGCTAGGATTACAGGTGTGAGCCACTGTGCCTGGCCACCTGTATGATTTTTAGACACTAGGCCTTAGCACCCACCATGAGCCCCAACGTGTCACAAGGTATGTGAGTTTCCTTTCAACGTGACGGTTACAGTTTCCACCCCTCTCTGAATTCCCCTGGTCTGGCTCTCCCTTTGGATTATGCCGCAAACACCTCATTCTATGACTCGGGGCAAATCTCTTTTTTGGGTTGCAGTAGCCCTGGCTGTGAAGTGAGGGGGGTTGACGAGAGCATGCAGGGTCCTCACCGTTCCTCTGGCACCCAAAGTGAAAGGTTTTTACGCAGACCTTTCTGCCAGAGGTTGTTAAGGGGGAGTTTAGTCTGTAAGCCACGCCCAACCCTCAGACACATTTTCTTTGGCCCAGAGTGCACATTAAAAA